TGCGCAGCAGGATACCCATTAGTGGGTCGTCGACTAGCGCCTGGATGCTGTCCGAGAGGGCGGCCCCGAGCTTTCCCCACGAGACCTGCTCATCCAATGGTGCTGCAATGCGGACTGCGAATGAGCTTTTCAATTTGGCCTTGGCCTTCCTGATGGCGTCGCCCAGGCCTTTTTACGCTGTCGTCCCCGTCGTGTGTGGGAGCAGCTGGGATCCACGACTCCAGGTCCTTCATGGGGTCGAATCCCTCGTCGCAGCGTAGGGAGGTCCGTTTGCCCAGGTTGTCCCCTTGGAAGCGTATCCAAAGCCTGGCCATCCTCCCATATTCCGAGAGCTCCCTGAGGTGCAATCCGGTGGCCGTGGTGAACATTCTTCCGCCCCCGATTATGATAACGCGTGACCTGGCACGCGCGATAGCGACATTGACCCTATTGGGATTGTCCATGAAACCCCAGTCGTGGAAGTAGTTGGACCGCGTAGTCAGGTAGACCACGATGTCAGCCTCACCGCCCTGGCTGGAGTCGATGGTGGAGATGTTGAGCCTGCCGCTGGCCAGGTGTTTGCCAGCTACCTGGCATATCCCTGGGAATTGTAGCCCGATTCCGTTGGATTGAGAGCTCCATTGCTCAAAGACCTGCCCGTGTCCTCGCTGGTCCCGGGGGCGGGGAGGGGGGTCGCATGGCCCTGAAAACTCGCCTTTGCCATCACCTTTATCCCTGCTCCTAGCCTGTCCGAGGGAGCCGATGATGCTGCGACCCGACTGGGGCCAGCCCCTCTCGAGCACCGCGCACCGAAGCTGGTACCCCACCACGACCAGGACAGTGGTCCCTTCTTCCATGGCAGGCATGAGGGCCCTCACCACGTCCGCCGTCTGCGCGGCCTCTGGGATGTTCGCGTAGCCGGAGTGAAGATTGGAGGTGACCTCGACTGAGGGGTTGTCGACCAGGAGAAACCGGTGTCTTGCTTCAGAGTGCTGCGGTGGGGGTTGAAGGTCCCGTAGTAACGTCTCCATGTCGTCTGTGGTAGTATTGGCCGACTCTGCTAGCGTCTGGAGCCCCCCTTCGTCCCGGGGCCGTACCTGCTGCCACGGAATTCCTTCCACGATCGGCCTCTGCGCCAGGGGGTTGGCGAGCCCAGTCCGAATAGCCCGGTTGTAGAAGGCCACGTTCGGCTACGAGAGGAGGAGAGATTGCATCCGGTAGCACAGGTTCAGCTGTACCACAGCTGGGCTGCCCCCGCCTAGCGCATTGAACAGCTTGTCAAATATGGAGAGGCAAAGTCCCCTGTCAGCCGCCTTCCTGGAGAGAACCGCGGGGGGTAGCTGCCCGGGGTCACCAACCAGTATTAGGCGCCCACCTGACCGTATGACATTGACGAGGGACATTGCCGCCATGAGTTCGTGGGCCTGTCCCGCCTCGTCGATGATGAGTAAAGCTGTTGGTACTAGCTTGAGCGACTCAGCCGCCTCGTGGGTAGCGATAACCAGCTTGGCGTCGCTTTGTAGCTGAGAGCGGAAGGACTGGAGCTCCTTGGATGCTCCATTCTGTTTGGGCGGGCGGTTATGGGTCCTCTGAAAGTGCCCCACTGGGGTCAAGGACGCAATCTCCGGCGCCACTCTGGCGCCCTTCGCGAGCCTGACACACCTGTTGGGAAAACCGGTCTCACCAGCCAGCCCGTTCTCCTCGTGCGCAACCCCGAGCCCAATAGCAGGCTGATCGGCTGCCGTATTCGATCCAGCTGTGAGGGCCACCGACTGCCTCGCGGGAAGTGAACTAGCCCATGCGTCCATGGTGGCCACTGTGAACAGAGTCTTGCCAGTCCCTGGGGGTCTATGCACAATCGCCACGTGGTGTAGGATGGTGGCGGTCAGTGCTTTGGCCGCGTTGCCGTTTAGACGGTGTCGTCTGGCGGCCTCGTTGAGGCTGTCGATGGAGGGGAGGTTGCGCACTCGCTGGAGGACCTGCCCGATTGATCCATCAACCTCATCGTCCGTGAACGGTGTGACCGCTTGCGCTTTGCCGTGCTGCCGCTGCGTGGTCTTCTACCGTCGTCACGCCCGGTAGGCTCTGCCCTCCGCTCTCAATGGTGGCCCTTTTCCTTGCCATGGGGGAAACGCTGCACGCCCTCGCATTTTCCACTTCGTTGGCCCTTAGCCTGTCACTCCTTTGGGGGGTCCTTATATTGAAGTAGAACGTTATCACGTCCAGTGGAGAGCCCACCAATTCGTCCGGTGCCTGTTGCAGCTTGTAGATCTCGGTGATGGCCTGATAGATTCTCCAATACTGCAGCCTCGATGGCGCTCTGTCCAGTCGGAACAGGACTTCTTCCTTGCTGCCTGTACTTGGTTCCTCGCCGAGAGCCAGTAGCTCCTCTGCCTCCTTGGAGTCGCACCATACCAGAGCCTGGTTGTGCGCCTTCCCTGAGATCCATTACGACGCACTCGTTGCTGGGGATGTGGCCACCAAATTCCGGGGGCCACACGAGCCTGAGGGAGGCGACCTGGTCCTCTGTGGGATTAGTGAGGCTGAGGAGCAACGTCCGAGATTGCGAGTCCTGTACGCCGTCCATTCCCTTGAGCGACAGCCGGAATTCGCTAGGCCATCGCAGGTGCAGGAGTGTCTCCCCGTCCTGGGGGGGAACGCCTGGCGAAGCTTGTACTTATCAAGTGCGTGACAGTCCGACTGCTCGTGTGTGGGGTTTACCGCCACTTCCACGGCGCAGCTCCGCTTGCGTGCCAGATCTGTTCTGGCCTTTACTGATCCGCCCAATGTCGTCTCTGTGGGGGCCATGGTCTCCGTCCATGCCAGTCTGGTCAGAGTGATCCCCCTCTGTCGCAGGTCCTGCCCCCAGTACTTTGGCAGGTTAACTCCTTCTGTTTCCCCAGGGGGACATGCAGACGGAACTGGGCTCCAGGGCTTTCCGCTGGCACGCAGAACATCTGAACGATGGCCGTGGCCGCGGTATCAGCTGGGGGGTCTGGGGACGTCAGCGATGGGAGTGGGTGGCGGCTGCTGGTCCCACCGGGTTCCTCCCCCCTTCGCGACCCGCCCCGCTCGGCGGGGTCTTGCGACGACGCCATGCTGGATCCGACCAGCCTGTCGCACAGGTTGGGGGGGGGGGGCGGCCCATCTGCGTTGTTGCGAGGGGGAGGCGGGACGCTCCCTCCCACAGTCCTTATGCTGAGCCATGAGTTGATCCTCCCGCCACGTCGGTACAAGTCTGCTGGCCGCAGGCTGGCGGACGGGATCGCGTCGGTGGGGGTAATGAAGCTGAACTCGTCGTCCCGCAAAGGAAAATCGACCGGTACGTGGTCCCAGTCATCTGGGGACGTCGCCTGGTAGGTGCAGATGGCCCTCTTTCACGTCCGGACAAGGGAGTGCCCACCCAGGCCATTCGTATCTATCGATTGCGAGATTGGTGATGCAGTCTCTGGTCCCCCCTCGGGTCCTGGCCCAAAGGTTACCCGCCTCAGTGTAGCACCTGGGGTCGGGCCACCCGTGTTCCCTCTGCTTGGCGGCCTCCTGGTAGTGTTCGATACTCATGAGATGCGTCTTGCCGCCGCAGTGTTTTTGGCAGACCTCGCACCACCAGCACCACTCTGTGTTGAAGTGCGCCCAGCGCATCCAGTGGCACTCACGGGCCCGAAAGGGCTTGGTTGCACCTTCCGTACTGGGGCCACTCTTGCAGGGCTCGAACGGAGACGGCCATCTGATAAGGGGCCCATTGTTGTTCTTCTTTACCATCTCATGGCGGCACAATGGGGGGAAGTGCAGCCGATAGCTGCGGGAGCTGGAAGAATGCACAGGGGGGGCTGCTTGAGCCGACACGGCGCGGGCTCAGATGCTGCGGCGGTCGGGCGGACGGGGCACATAATGAGGGGGATCAAGGAGCGGGGCAGGAGAGGGATGCGCGAGAGAGTGGGCAACCTCAGCCGCCACAATGGGGTCGCACAGACAGGCTGAGCGGGGGGGGGCGCACGGGAAGTGGGCGGGAAAAGGATGGACGGCCCCACTCCACTGAGTGCGGGAAGTGACTGCCGTAACGCCTGCCCTGCGGAGGGCGTCTGCCCAATACACCCCTGTGGTGGCCAGACTGTCCGCCGCTTTGTTAAGTCTGCGCCTGACGGCTTGCCAAGTGAGTACCCAGCCTGCTCCCTCGACCTGTCCCAAGGCTTCCTCCATCTGCTGACCCAGGTGTAGTCTTCGGTATCTGGCTGTGCCAGCACCGTACCTTACTGCAGCTAGGTTGTCGCCGACAATCCGCGCAGTGCGGGTGGGGCTGTTGATGTGGGGAAGCATTGCCAGCCCAGCGCGACAGCCTGCAACCTCCGCCATTTGGGCGTTGCTGCATTCTGGGAGAGCGACTATGGCAATGGCGAGCACACGGGGAGCCCCGGTGCTGGGGTTGTGGTGCCAGAGGATGGCCCCAGCACCAGAGACTTTTTCGCCATCCCCGATGGATCTCGTGGGGGATACGCGAAGCGTGAAGAATACTATACGGTTGGCTACACGACCAGCCGCAGGCCTTGCATACTCAAGGGCGGGGGGGCCAGGAGGAATTCCACGGCCGCCTCGACCACGTCACGTACGAGGCTGTTCAGCAGGAGGATGAGGAAAGGAGGAGGAGGAAAGGAGGAGGAGGAGGAGGAGGAGAGAGGAAAGGAGGAGGAGAGAGGAGAGAGGAGGCAAGCTACGTGCGCTCGCGCCAAACTTGACATGCTACCCCTCCCGCCCGTCCCTTCCTATTGTTTCGGTCTGCCTTTACCCGTCGACGGATGCTACAGCGGACCTGGAACCTCCCGAATGACCCAATCGTGCCATGCGCAATCAGAAAGGGGAGCTAGGTACATCGGAGGAGGAGGAGGAGGTGGATGAGCAGGAGGATGAGTAGGGGTAAGACGAAGATGATAGGGATTAAACAGGAGGAGGAGGAGGAGAAGGAACAAGGAGGAAGGGGAAGAATGGCGAGGAGGAAGAGGAACGGCGAGAAAGAGGAGGCCGTCCTGCGCCAGATCGTCCTCCGGCGCTAGGCTCTTGAGCCTGTTCAGCGCGGAGACCTGGAGGGGCAGGAGAACGGGGGTGACGCCAGCTGGGAGGAACCTCCTTCGCCTCCATCCGCCTCCCTCCTCCCTGATCCCTCCTCTCTCCTCCTCCTCCTCCTCCTCCTCCTCCTCCTCCTCCTCCTCCTCCTCCTCCTCCTCCTCCTCCTCCCCTCCTCCTCCTCCTCTTCCTCCTCCTCCTCCTCCTCCTCCTCCTCCTCCTCCTCCTCCTCCTCCTCCTCCTCCTCTGCATCCTCCTCCTCCTGCTCATCCACCTCCTCCTCCTCCTCCTCCTCCTCCCTCCTCCTCCTCCTCCCCCTCCTCCTCCTCCCTCCTCCTCCACCTCCTCCTCCTCCTCCTTCCTCCTTCCCTCCTCCTCCTGCTCCTCCTCCTCCGCCTCCTCCTCCTCCTCCGCCTCCTCCTCATCCTCCTCCTCCTCATCATCATCATCCTGCTCCTCCTCCTCATCCTCCTCCTTTTCCTTCCCCTCCCTGCCTCCCTCTCCAAGACGGCGCGCAGACTCCTGCAATGACGAGTCCGACCGACCTCCTCCCTCCTCCCTCCTAATCCTCCCTGCTACCTGCTCATCCTCCTCCTCCCTCCTCATCCTCCTCCCTCCTCCTCATCCTCACTCCTCCCTCCTCCAGTTTCCCTCCTCTTCATCCACCCTCTTCCTCTCCCTTCCTCCCTCTTCCGTCTTAGAAGACCAGGGCAGATGGTGCGGAATGCAAATGTCATGAAAAACTCTGTCGTTAATGTTCGCTTCGGATGTGACCAAGCGGAGAGCAAGAACCGTTCGACTGCCAATGATGTCAGCGATGGACGCCCGGCAAGGCCCAACGCGGCGTTGTTGGGTTCGAGGCTACACTCGCCACCATTTCCAGCAGCACGTGAAGCGTGCACACGTGCGAAAATCAGGGTGTGGCATTTCGACGCATGTTGCTGTCACGGTCATGTCAATGAACGCAGGTGTAGCGAGAACTGCGAAGGAATACACGTCCCACTTCCCCGTCATTGCGCGTCCAACGACCTATGCGCAAGGCTGTGAAGCATGCTGCTGGACTGCTGTCTTGTGCCATGTGCGCAGTCTTTCGGTTTCTGACACGTGTCTCTCCAGTCCTGTCTCCATGTTGCTGTCGACTAGGGAGCCCGCACGCAAAACAAAGGCAACCTAGAGGGGGGATGGCCCCTTAAATCCCTGGCTGCTCCAGGTTGCCGCAAGAATCTCAATCGGACAGCACCGCACGGCCAGGAGAACCCAAGAGGCCACGCAGACGGCTCCAGGAGGCTCCGAAGAGGGCCTGAAGAGAATGAGACGGCCGACGATGGCCCCCAAGATGCCTGCAAGATGGCCCAGGAGGGTTCCAAGACGCCCCCCATCAGACAATTATCCCGGCAAAGCAACCTAACAGCGATGTGTAGGAGCATATCTGGAAGCATTCCCCGTAAGATTCAGATGAGAATCCAGTTGTAGAATTCTGCTGTTCTCGCAGTCGTAGTCGCATTCGCGATGACAGTCGCAGTGGCAACGGCAGTCGCAGTCACAGCCTCAGCCTCAGCCTGCCTCAGCCTCAGCCTCAGCCTGCCTCAGCCTCAGCCTGCCTCAGCCTCAGCCTCAGCCTGCTTCAGCCTCAGCATCAGTCTGCCTTCAGCCTCGGCCTCAGCCTCAGCCTGCCTCAGCCTCAGCCTGCTCAGCCTCAGCCTGCCTCAGCATCAGCCTGCCTCAGCCTCAGCCTCAGCCTGCCTCTGCCTCAGCCTCAGCCTGCTTCAGCCTCAGCCTCAGTCTGCCATCGGCCTCGGCCTCAGCCTCAGCCTGCCTCAGCCTCAGCCTGCATCAGCCTCAGCCTCAGCCTCAGCCTGCCTCAGCATCAGCCTGCCTCAGCCTCAGCCTCAGCCTCAGCCTGCCTCAGCCTCAGCCTCAGCCTGCTTCAGCCTCAGCCTCCGTCTGCCTTCAGCCTCGGCCTCAGCCTCAGCCTGCCTCAGCCTAAGCCTGCATGAGCCTCAGCCTCAGCCTCAGCCTGCCTCAGCATCAGCCTGCCTCACCCTCAGCCTCAGCCTGCCTCAGCCTCAGCCTCATCCTGCTTCAGCCTCAGCCTCAGTCTGCCTTCAGCCTCGGCCTCAGCCTCAGCCTGCCTCAGCCTCAGCCTGCATCAGCCTCAGCCTCAGCCTCAGCCTTAGCATCAGCCTGCCTCAGCCTCAGCCTCAGCCTGCCTCAGCCTCAGCCTCAGCCTGCCTCAGCCTGCTTCAGCCTAAGCCTCAGTCTGCCTTCAGCCTCGGCCTCAGCCTCAGCCTGCCTCAGCCTCAGCCTGCATCAGCCTCAGCCTCAGCCTCAGCCTGCCTCAGCATCAGCCTGCCTCAGCCTCAGCCTCAGCCTGCCTCAGCCTCAGCCTCAGCCTGCTTCAGCCTCAGCCTCAGTCTGCCTTCACCTCGGCCTCATCCTCAGCGTGCCTCAGCCTCAGCCTGCATCAGCCTCAGCCTCAGCCTCAGCCTGCCTCAGCATCAGCCTGCCTCAGCCTCAGCCTCAGCCTGCCTCAGCCTCAGCCTCAGCCTGCTTCAGCCTCAGCCTCAGTCTGCCTTCAGCCTCGGCCTCAGCCTCCGCCTGCCTCAGCCTCAGCCTGCATCAGCCTCAGCCTCAGCCTCAGCCTGCCTCATCATCAGCCTGCTTCAGCCTCAGCCTCAGCCTGCCTCAGCCTCAGCCTCAGTCTGCTTCAACCTCAGCCTCAGTCTGCCTTCAGCCTCGGCCTCAGCCTCAGCCTGCCTCAGCCTCAGCCTGTATCAGCCTCAGCCTCAGCCTCAGCCTGCCTCAGCATCAGCCTCTCTCAGCCTCAGCCTTCGCCAGCCTCAGCCTCAGCCTCAGCCTCAGCCGGCTTCAGCCTCAGCCTCAGTCTGCCGTCGGCCTCGGCCTCAGCCTCAGCCTCAGCCTGCCTCAGCCTCAGCCTGCATCAGCCTCAGCCTCAGCCTCAGCCTGCATCAGCATCAGCCTGCCTCAGCCTCAGCCTCAGCCTGCCTCAGCCAAAGCCTCAGCCTGCTTCAGCCTCAGCCTCAGTCCCGCCTTCAGACCCTCCGGCCTCAGCCTCAGTCCTGCCTCCAGCCTCACCTGCCACAGCCTCAGCTCATCAGCCCTCAGCCTCACCTCACGCATCAGCCTGGCCTCAGCATCACCTGCTCAGCCTCAGACCTCAGCCTGCGCCCATCAGCGCACCTTCTCCACCTCACATCAGTCGTGCATTCACCTCGCCTCAGCCTCCGCCTGCCTCACCTCAGCCTGCGTGAGCCCCAGCTCAGCCTCCAGCCTGCCTTTGCACATCAGCCTGCCTCAGCATCAGCCTGCCTCAGCCTCAGCCTCAGCCTGCCTCAGCCTCAGCCTCAGCCTGCATCAGCCTCAGCCTTAGTCTGCCTTCAGCCTCGGCCTCAGCCTCAGCCTGCCTCAGCCTCAGCCTGCATCAGCCTCATCCTCAGCCTCAGCCTGCCTCAGCATCAGCCTGCCTCAGCCTCAGCCTCAGCCTGCCTCAGCCTCAGCCTCAGCCTGCTTCAGCCTCAGCCTCAGTCTGCCTTCAGCCTCGCCCTCAGCCTCAGCCTGCCTCAGCCTCAGCCTGCATCAGCCTCAGCCTCAGCCTCAGCCTGCCTCAGCATCAGCCTGCCTCAGCCTCAGCCTCAGCCTGCCTCAGCATTCAAAATGTGGCCCGGGAATGTAGTTCTGGGAACTCGAAGAACACGAAGTGGCCTACAGTTGGCTCCGGGCATTCAAAATCATGCCCAGGAATGGCTGGGAACTCGAAGAACACGAAGTGGCCTACAGTTGGCTCCGGGCATCAAAATCATGCCCAGGAATGATTCTGGAACTCGAAGACCCCGAAGTGGCCTACAGTTACGGCATTCAAAATCATTCCCTGGAATGGCGGGAACTCGAAACCACGAAGTGGCTACAGTTGGCTCCGGGCATTCAAAATCATGCCCAGGAATAAAGTTCTGGGAACTCGAAGAACACGAAGTGGCCTACAGTTGGCTCTGGGCATTCAAAATCATGCGCAGGAATGGAGTTCTGGGAACTCGAAGAACACGAAGTGGCCTACAGTTGGCTCCGGGCATTCAAAATCATGCCCAAGAATGGAGTTCTGGGAACTCGAAGACCACGAAGTGCGTTACTGTTGGCTAGCAAAGGAGTCCCCGGATCCCGTCCGGCATCTGCCCAGACCCCCCTGGGGAGTCATGATGCTCTCTTTTGACCCTACTAGAAACCTATCAGTCTTCGCTGCTAGGTAAAAAGCATTCGAAACCTCTGATGAGTTCAGCGTTCTCTGCCTGACCCACGTCTTGCTCCCAGTGTGTCCAAACATCATTTCAAGACTGCCCCCCCCAGGGCTCCCGAGATTGCCCAAGACGGCCCCAAAGGTGGCCCCACGAGGACCCAAGGTGTCGTCCAAATCGCAGAATAGCCTAACAAGGCCACAAGATGGCCTGCGGTGCCCTCAAGATAGGCCCCAGTGGCCTCAAGACAGCCCGAATCTTACCCGAGCTGGCTCGAAGATGGCCCCAGAGGCTACATGATGGCCCCAGAACCACTCCAGCATAACCACAACATGGCTCAGCCTGGCGGGTCGGCGGCAGAGTTCAGATATGAATACAGTCGCAGTGACGAGAACGAGGTACAAGGACGACCAGGGACCAGGTGTTGAAATAGATTGCTGGTCAGCAAATGGCAAGAACGACACACTGAGCACTGTAGTCGAGCCGAACCAACAAGCCGTTCAAGAATCATGACACTCCCACCAAACCCGTTGCAAGACAGAAAGGGCTGGCGCCTCCAGGAACGACGAAGGCGCGATCACGACGCTGCCTGTGGCAATATTTCCCTTCGCCTGCCTGTCACCTGATCGACCTAGACGTTCCCGCTGAACATACCCCAATTCACAGGCGGCCCCCACGCCGGCCCTGTTTCTACTCCCACGCCTCTCCTTGCCTGCTTGACCCCCTCCGCCCAGCACTTGCTCACACCCTCCCCAGGCCTATTTTTTCCGACGCCATCAAATGATCATCATCCCCCTCCCCCTCCTCGTTTTTTTTGTTCAGACGCCCGTTCACCTGATCCGCCTCCTCCTCCTCCTTTTCCTCCTCCTCCTCCTCCTCCTGCTTAGAGCGCGTTCCCCTGATGCTGTAACCACCCACCTTGGCCACACATCTGCCCATGTGCCCGTCCGTCTTCGCTCGTTCCCTGAACCGCGGCGCTCCTCTCTGGCATTCCCGCCTACCTGGCACCGCGTCGGCCACCACCACCGTCGCTGACGCCGCCGCCCGCGCCGGTGGCCTTGGCGAAGGGGGTGGCGGCGGCAGCGGCACCGCCGACACGCGGCAGGCCAGACCGGCAGGAGCTCTGGATAACGTGAACCCACAGAGGTGCTTGCGGGCAGCCGTCGTTCGCCAGCGCCTCAGCGCGCCGAGCGTGTTGTTACCGTCGGCGTCGTCGTCGCCGTGCGGGTGGCTCTGCTCGGGAGTCGTTCCCCGCATGCTGTGACCGCCTGGCTTGGTCGCCCGAGATCGCTAGTTCCGCGAGCCGCAGCACATCTCCCGGGCATTGCACGCCTGCCTGGCACCGCGTCGGCCAACGCTACGGGTCCTTTCGCCGTCACCCGCAGTTTTGAGTTGTGACTGGCACAGCATCCGAAGACGAACGGTGGCTGCAAGAACCAGATCGACGCACTCACGTCGTGCCCTCTGGCACCGGCCGACCCGCTCTGGAGGGGGCCGCAATTCACGAAACATAGCAAGCCATCGGGGCAGGAGCCCTGGAGGACGTGCGTCCAAAGGGTGGCCCGAGGGCGCACCTCAGCGCGCCCCGGAATGTCGAAGAATGGAGAAAGCAAAATTGTCAGCGGCAACTTGGGGCCCAAGACGCGGTCGAGCAACGGCGGGGCGCATCCGTAGCGAATTGAGGCACAAGGGACGAGGGAAGGCGCGGAGGAGAGGAAAGGAAGCTGCGGGCGGCAGAGCACCGCTCAGATCACGAAGACCTCGCACGCGTGTGCAGGAGCACAGGCTTGCATAGGTGGCACATCTCGCCTAAGATTAAGTCGGGCGTGCCCCATCTACAGGATGAATACTCAAAAATAGTCAAGAAATAGTCTGGGGACGATGTGTTCAGTGTTTTTGAGTATTTCTGGTAGTGTTGGAATATTTCTAATTTGTCATCCAAAATCCTTCTGTAGGGGGACGGGCCCGACCTAAGCCTAAGATGGCCGAGAGCCCAGGCCCGAGCCTGAGCCAGGCCTCAGGTGGAATCAAGACGGCCCAAGATGGCTCCAACACGGCCCAAGAGGCCTCCGAGACGGCCCAAGACGCCGAAGATGGCTTCGTGGGGGCCCGAGCCCGAGCCTGAGCCTGGCCCAAGATGGTATCAAGACGGCCCAGGATGGCTCCAAGAGGGCCCAGGAGGCCTCCGAGACGGCCCAAGACGTCTAAGATGGCTTCGTGCAGGCCCGAGCCCAGCCCATCGAGCTTGATTGAATCGGCGATACATTGCCGATAGATCGGCGGCGATAGGCCCCAGATAGCGAAACTGCACGTCCAGGTGCGGGGTTAGCTATGGGCCCCTAACGGCGACGAATGGCTCATTGGAAGTCGATACATCCCCCCTGAGCTTATCCCCCCAATGTTGCCTCGGACGTACTCGCTGTCGAGCCATAATTCGGGCCTCAGGCGGCCGTTCGGAACGATTCCCACTCCCCCAGACCGCTCTCGGCGTGGCGCAGCTGATGGGAACCTACGAGGGCCTCCCCCGCTGAGCCCGTCCCATCCTAACGCTGCCCCTGATCGAATTGAACGGCCACGACGACGACGACGACGACGATGACGACGACGACGACGACGACGACGACGACGACGACGACGACGACGACGGCCAAGCCGCGCGCCGCCTCCGCTGCAGGCCTGCCCGGCGAGCTCCGGGCGGGAGCGCCGCAGGAGGGCGCAGAAGAGCGCTCCGCCCGCCTGCGCTCGAGACGGGCGGCGGCTCCCTGCCTCCCGCCTGCCTGCCCGGCCTGCCTGCCTGCCTGGCCTGCCTGCCCGCCTCAGGCCGCCTTCCCCGCCCGAGGGGATCTGCAGGAACAACCACAAGCAACACCAGCACAACCTTTGGCACCAGCCAGCGCCTCCGCAGCAGGCCGCAGCGCCCACTCCGCCCAGCCCCCCCCCCCACCCACCCCGCACGCGGCAGGCCGGGACTCGCGGGCCTTCTGGTGGCCCGGCCGCGCACCCGCCTGGAGGATCCTGCCGGCGACGCGGGGATGACCCAGGCCCCAGGGGCTGGGGTACAAGCCAGCGCGAGGAGCCAGGGGGATCCTCCTGGTGGTGTGGTCCCCCCGCCCCGCTCGAGGCGGCGAAAATCGAGACACGCCGCGCGGCCGCCCGCCACAGGAGCGAGCGCGGCGCAAAGCCGTGCCGCGGAGGAGTGGGCGGGCCTCCTCCTCCTCCTCCTCCTCCTCCTCCTCCTCCTCCTCCTCCTCCTCCTCCTCCTCCTCCATTCCTGCTCCTTATACATAACTTTTCCCTGTCGCACCCCGAGGCCAGTTTTTAGAGCGGGTCGAGCGTTTCGCCTGAGACTCCCTCACCACGAATGACTCTGAGGCTGAGAAATAAGTAAGAGCTTCACAGATGAAGAGCGGGTCGTTTTAATAATGTGGCTCTCGTTTTAGCGCGGCGCACAGTCGTCTTTATAATTGCAAAGAGCTTCACATATGGAGGGCGGTTCCTTTTTATAATGTGGCTCTCGCATTAGCGCGGCGCACATTCATTTTTGAAAACTGCAAGAGTTTCACGGATTGAGGGCGGTTCCTTTTCATCTTGTGGTTCTCGCCTTAGCGCGGCGCATATTCTTCTTAGAATATTGCAAGAGTTTCACGGATTGAGGGCGGATCGATTTCAAAAGGTGGCTCTCGCTTTAGCGTGGCGCACGCTCGGTTCAAACATTGGCAAGAGTTGTACAGCTTGAGGGCGAGTGGTTTTCAAAATGTGGCTATCGAGTTAGCGCCGCGCACATTCGTTTTCAAAATTTGCAAGAGCTTCACGGATTGAGGGCGGTTCCTTTTCAACATGCGGTTTTCCCCTTAGCGCGGCGCACATTCGTTTTAAACATTTGCAAGAGTTTCAAGTGTTCCCATCATCAACGTACCAGACACTGTCATTTGTAAGGATTCCGGATTATGCGGGTGCAACAATTACGTTGGTTCTCTGCGTTGAAGTCATAGGAATGGCCTTCTGGCACATTTAGGATCGTCAAGACGCAACAGTCAGGTTGATCCGTGGAGTTGGAATCCCGAGAACAATGTTTTGGCATGCTTCAGGGTCTTCAAACAGGTGTCTTCCAACGGGGCAGCGCCATCGATGGAAATGAAACGTTGTAGGGGCCTGTGAAGAGGGAGCTTGGAGGGACGGTTTACTCCAACATCGTTGATGACTCTTTACACTGGTCCTCCTCCTCCTCCTCCTC